GGGCGAGAAAAAGGCGAGAAATGACTAAGTAAGCCGCAGAGGTGGGAGGAGTTGCGTCTATGGCTGATAGCGGCGGGCAGCGCGGACCTGACTGCTTTGCAACTCTGTCGAGCTCGCCATTGCACAGTTGTCAAACGTTCAGCGGTGGGGCGCAACAATGGGTCACGAAGAGCGCCGGTGAGGCTGTTTCCTGATTCTGACGCCATTTCCATTATTGGCAAGGGTTCGCGAATCGTCGAATTTTACGTCTATCTGTGACTTCGCGTGCAAGCTCTCGGTTCGAACATTACTTCGCGTTAGAGTTTTTATATAACAGGACTGTCAGTTCCAATGTCTTGCCCTCTGTGTCCCCACTAAAATTGCGGACTGTTCCTTGGGACCAGCTATGGAGTTCGTGCGCGGCCTATGCATGTCGGCGCACGGATCATAGCTGCCTACGCTGAATACTTTGTCGTAGGAAATTTTGCCGCGGTCGCGTGCGCCTTGCCGCGGAACTGCGCGCAAGATCGCGCAGCACTTCGGATAAACACCTCCTTTCGGCAACGCTTCTCTAGTATCCCGTCTCATCTGGATCGGTCAGTGGTCCTGTGTAATCAATAGTAGTGTCGGGGGTTTCGTTAGAAGTCAGCGCACAGCGAATTCGGCTGTGTACATTATCTTGTACGCCATGCATTTTTTTAACATTTTGTCCTGCAGCCTCAAGCTGCTTAACATTAGAGCCTTTGGTTCTCATCGTGTCTCTTTTGATGTTTTTACTCAATGGCCCAGTACTTTCAAAATAGTAATGTTTAGTAAAACCCCTGTAGTGGTTTGGAGTAGTGCTGTTCTGTAGTAGTACACTCTCTTGTAGCAAATGGTTGATTGTGCATGGGTATAGAACTGGTAAGGATGGAATGGCTGTTTCTGCTACCTGTTAGCAATGAAACGTACTTTTATTGTCATGGTTTTACTGTATCCACAAGAAGTATGTATAACACTGCGGTCTCCTCGAACCAGTAGCTACATGTACACACGAGTGACTCTTTATGCGACACTTGTATCCTATCAATTCTCGAGTATTCGTCGGACGTAATTTCTCAGCATGGACATGTGTTTTATATTCACAGGGTTGCTATGACAAGGCCTACAGTGTGATGCTGGATAATTTAGCAGCCATTGGGGGCGTTGGAGTTGGCATTGCCTGTCTAATGGTTAGTTCACACTTTACACCCACTAAATCATCCTCATACCCACAAATGTTTACACCCACGAAATCATCCTCATACCCACAAATGTTTACACCCACGAAATCATCCTCATACCCACAAATGCTCACTATCAGCAAGTGTCTTAAAGATTGTTGCCAACAACGTATTTAACATTGCTGACATAGGAATAGTGTAATTCCTAATATTTTTTTTCTAGGTTATTGGAATGGTGTGTGCTCTGGCGCTCGTTCGACAAATACATTAGCTAGGTCTGAAGGAAATGGGAGGTTTCAAAACCACCGTGGCGAGACAAGGTTTCTTCACCGAATGTTAGTGACTGAGGAGGTGTGTGAAGGTATTAAGATACATGAGTCTATATTTATAAATGAGAGATATGAATACAAATGTCGTTTTATGAATAACACACTGAATTGGAAGTTATAGCGACAGAAAATTAATATCGACCAACTATACCATTTTTCGTGGCATTAATGCCTGAATATCTGGCAAAGGTTTGAGAGCCTAGTTGTTGTCCATGTCTGTCATCCTATGCCAATATATGGCAACCTGTTGATTATAATTACCATTGCAAATATTGTGAAGCTGGTGGTGACAGATCGTAGGGCTGTACAGAGCAATCCTACTTGCACAATTGTCGTACCCTACTAGACTAGCTATTTCGATGTGCTAGGATGCACGAAGTAACCGTGGTACGATGGGTAGATAGTGTGGGTTTCGCACGTCGTCTAATTGACTCGCAGGAGGCCAGTGGAGTTTTTGTGTGATTTCTATCCACGTGTGCAACGCTTTTAATTTTTTTTTTATTTACACCAAATGCGTTCAACCAGGGGCGTCGACGTTTTAGATGAAATTATTGTGTTTGAAAACACGTTAAATCACGTGAGCATTTTCAAGAGATTTAAATGAAATACTCCATCAGTGCATAATATAGCATAGTTTACACTTTGGCTGATACATTGGTTTACACATAACAGCGTTGCTTTATAACAGTTTGTTCAGCACCGTTTGGAGATAAGATTGGTCGGATATTTCCTGGCATGAAGCTGAATGCACAGAGCAGATATCTGTTGTAATATGACAGAAATGGTTTTCTCCCATTAACAAGTGGCTGTGTGCATTGCCCATGAACACAAAACATTGGTATCGCAAAAAGTTTTGCCAAGATCCAACATGTTTGATATTGCGGACAAATGACCGTCAGAAGGTCAGAGAGTCGGCTGTGTGTGTTACGTGCAGACCAACACAAAACACTATTTTGGCCATTGACCAATCAGCATGCACCTAGTAATCAGGTGATTTTCTAAATATACAAGACAAACGTCTGCTGTGTCCATTAAACAAAGACATAATCTAAGACAAATGTTTGTGTTGTATTACATGAAATGGCTGCTGTCTGCATTGAACGAAAACCAACACAAAGACATATGTTTCTGTCATATTACAATAAATATCTACTGTTTGCGTTTGGCCTAGCAGGGTAAACGTGAAGTGTGTGTGAGAGGTGCATAAGGTGCATGAGGTGCATAAGGTGCATGTGTGAGATTATTGGAGGAACTGCGATCTCCTGGTTTCACAGCCAGAATAAGTTTTGCCAAGGTTGAGATAAGTTTTTGGTGCGTAGGGCAAGTTCGTCAGGCAAGTTGGTAAATATTTATTCATTATATTGAGGTATCGTTAAACCCAGGTGTGTTCACAGTGATTAGCTAGGCTGTTTCTTTGATTTGCAATGATCGATTTTATGCGCGCTCGTGTAATATTGGAGGACAGTTCGCACTCGATATTTATGTAGGATCTCACAGAAACTATTACTGCCACATCTCAGAACTCCTGTCGTGTGTATTTTTAATCTCTACAATGTGTTGTCTTCTTGTTGCGATGTTTTACACACTCCCCTTCGTTTTACCTGTGACCATGAAGTTGAAGATATTTTAATGTATATCATTATTACTAGGAACACGTGATTTCAAATTGGTATGGATCTTGAAATATTGACATTTATATTAATTTGATATAACGTATTCCAGATATTATATGTGACGCCTAATTGTCGTTGCTGTCAATATAGCCTAGGTTGGAGTGCCCGAAATAAAAAAATAAACGGTTAAAGTCACATCAAAGCTGCTAGTACAGATAAACAAATCCAGGTGATGCAACGATTCGGGTAAAGAATATGAGAGTGGTGTTACTGTTAGCAATCATGGTCAGAATTCTAATTATGTTTTGGGTACGGGCCGGATTTTCCGTACAAGCACATGGCATACCTCGTCTTGCAAAGGATGGCTTTGGTATATTGAGTGATTAAGTGATTGAATGATTTAGTAATCGATAGGTATATACATTCCTTAATGGTGCGTGGAGGCAGAGTAAAGCATCTAGTGCAGGCAGCTCGATTGACCTATGACGAATTGTATTGGTACTAGGCCAGTTTTTCCAAGGCAACTTTATCGATGTTGTCTGTATGAACGTCATTCCAATGTTTCTGTATATAAACATATTTACCGTATTGAACCTAGTATTTGCATCTATATAATTGTTGTACTGGGGTTTGTGCGTGAGATCGCTTATCGATCGAGTGCTTGAGATAACTTTTTGCACTACAACATAATCATGAAATTGTGTGTAGAAGGACCATGTAAAATTTGCTATTCGTACGTACGCCAGTCATATATGGCAGCAGTTTTAGGAATGTTGAAAAAATGATCCCCTTTGCTCTTGCTATGTGTCTTCCCCTTCTCACACCTAAAACGCAAGTCAGTGTGCTGAAGGCAGCAACTCGTCCGGAAGCCACTACGCTGATGAATACGTTCCCCGCTCTGCTCGTGGAGAATAGGGCTGGAAATCAAATTTCTCTACGACGTTGTATCTTTGGCAGCTTTTTCGGCATTTCCTCACGCCTAGCATTGGTCTAAATGTGTGCACACATGCCTATTTTACTGTATATACGCCGCTGGTCAGATACTCTTCATTATCACTGCATGTAGCAACTAGACAGAGGGCACTCACGGAGAGTGCATGCCTCCGCCAGCGACATACGCCATACGCCATACGCCATACGACTGAGGAACGCACGAATAACCCACGATATACGCCAACGTACATGTATGCTCGCTCGCCGCTCAGTCAGCAGCAGCCGGCTGTGGCTGGCTTTCTCGCTGACGCGCTAATATCGATCGCGCAAACACACACACCAACACACGAACGCACAGACCCGAATACATAACTTCCTGCCAACCCCTTGGCGGAGGTAATAATGGCCACGTATTGTATTGTACCGCACGTAATATATACAAGCGGTTGTAGGTTGTGTGTGTGTGTGTGTGTGTGTGTGTGTGTGTGTGTGTGTGTGTGTGTGTGTGTGTGTGTGTGTGTGTGTGTGTGTGCGTGCGTGCGTGCGTGCGTGCGTGCGTGCGTGCGTGCGTGCGTGCGTGCGTGCGTGCGTGCGGGCGTGCGTGCGTGCGTGCGTGCGTGCGTGCGTGGCAGGAAATGCATTTTTCACATGTCGGCAGCAATGTAATTAGTAACTGCATTTCTGTATTTGAGGTACTCACCGTGACATAGCGCTTGTATTTATGTGTGTAACTAGTATATTAATACCACACTCGTTATTATACACACTTAACCGTGTTAGTTGGCACATCTATAGAATGTACACCTATATGTATCTGTATGTACACCTATATGTACCTGTATGTACACCTATATGTACCTGCATGTACACCTATATGTACCTGTATGTACACCTATATGTACCTGTATGTACCTGTATGTACACCTATATGTACCTGCATGTACACCTATATGTACCTGTATGTACCTGTATGTACACCTATATGTACCTGTATGTACACCTATATGTACCTGCATGTACACCTATATGTACCTGTATGTACACCTATATGTACCTGTATGTACACCTATATGTACCTGCATGTACACCTATATGTACCTGTATGTACACCTATATGTACACCTATATGTACCTGCATGTACACCTATATGTACCTGTATGTACACCTATATGTACCTGCATGTACACCTATATGTACCTGCATGTACACCTATATGTACCTGCATGTACACCTATATGTACCTGCATGTACACCTATATGTACCTGTATGTACACCTATATGTACCTGTATGTACACTTGTATGTACCTGCATGTACACCTATATGTACACCTATATGTACCTGCATGTACACCTATATGTACCTGTATGTACACCTATATGTACCTGCATGTACACCTATATGTACCTGCATGTACACCTATATGTACCTGTATGTACGCCTATATGTACCACTCTGTCAATAGAGGACCACTTTCGTCGCTTCCCATGAGTGGTTGTTATATGGTATAGTATATTACAATTAACTCATATTATTGTAGTGGACACCCGTCAGTAAAAGACATTTTTGGGGTTTCCATTGAGTGAACCTTATATTCAGGTTTGTCTGTATGTGAAATGTATTTACCATATTATACTGTTTGGAAAATGCCACTAGATTACTATATATAAAACATAACTACTGCGTCACTGCACACATATAATCAAGACCTAACAATAATTAAGAGGAAGTTGAGCAGCAATCCTCCGTCCAATGCTGTACCAGTATTTAATATATCATATCGTTGGAATGTAAAACTCTGAGAGTATTTTTAATATCGTTCGGAATATTTGGTTGTATGCTCGACTTTCGTCTGAGTGAAATTACGAAGTGAGCGGAGGTATTTTTGAGGTACTACACTTGTTAAACGGGCTCATGCATTCTGCACGCAACTGTCGACGAATAGTCAGTGTTGTTATAGGTAACCATGGCGATGCTAGTAACAAATTCTTGAATCAATATCCATCTATCCAGGCGCTAATAAAAACACATTGTTTTTATTCACCCCTGATCTATCTATCTGTCCGTATGACTGTCCGTATGTCCGTCCGTCCGTCCGTTCGTCTATGTCTGTCTGTGTCTTTCTTGTCTCTTTGTCTATTAACTATCTATCGGCATGTTACGCTAGCCACGTCACTGCAATCTCTCCCAGCGTGAATTTGTTGTCATTTCACCTGGAACTGAGCTTACGGCTTGACTATTGCACTGCTTGTCACCAGATTCATGCGAGATTTGATGTACGCGTGTGGGTACAATATGTGGGTATATCTGTGTATGTAGATGCGAGGACACAGCCCAGCAGAACAGGTCAGCCTGTGCTTTGCTCTGTTCGTTTGTTGGTGCGCGAGCATTGTGTAGGACCGACCACTCACAGTGGTGAATACGCATGCACCTGTACGCTTCACCCTCCAGTTCCCAGCATCGCGAGGAACTAATGAACGTAATGCGTTTAATTGCTGTGTGGCTGTACTCATGTCGCACAGGTGCTGTGACAGAGTGAGTGACTATGTGCAGGTAGAGCTAGTTTTCGTATAATAATGTGTAACGGTTTCCCAATAGTTCTATCTGTGAATGTAATCCGTGCAAATGGTTTTCAGCGTTGTATACATTATCGTTGTTTCGGAGATCATTGAAGATAAATAAAGCATCGTATCTGTCACAGTACTATTGGATACTGCATATTATTAATGTAATTAACTGGTTCGATCTTGTCGCTTTTTCCAAGAAGATATGCGCTCTCTGCTTGTATCTGCATAGTCATTGATCTCTTTCACTCACCGTTCAGTTCTTTGTCGTTGGCGTAATATATAGCGTTGTGGGCTCTTTCCTGTAAACACTATTTATTAGCTCATCTGACATAGTCAGATGCAGCTTGTAGAATCGCATGATCGTCCGTCCGTCCGTCCGTCCGTCCGTCCGTCCGTCCGTCCGTCCGTCCGTGCGCAGCGTACCGTGCGTCCGCCCGTCATACGAGTGTGGGCACAAATCTTAACGCGCTCGACGTACGGTCACGATATTCGGACGTGGGGGGGGGGTAATCCGAAAACGAGTTGGGATGTCGAAGCTGGGGGTCAAAGGTCAAAGGTCAAGAGGTGTAAAAGAAGGGGAACATTCCCTCCTTAACTTAAGGTATAGGGAGGAAATGCAGAATTGCGGCACAAATTAAACGGCTCGACCTAGGCTCGTGATAGTCGGTGTATAGCATCATGGTAGGAAAAGCCATCACTGTGCCGAAATTGGAGGTCACAGTCAAGGTCAATGGGCACAGGCAGATTTTAGACATTTTCTGAGGAATGGTGTGACGAAGCGATTGAAAACTTTTTTGTTTCAGCGGTGACCTACCATTTTTATGGCTTTATTGAAAGGACCATGAAATGTGCTTTCCACTGACGTGCGAAGAGTAAGTGTCTGATAACCTTTTGACCCTCAAGAGGAGGTTAAACATGGATTTGTTGTCTGTTAACAAAGGAGTGAACTGCTTTTGCTATTAGAGCCCCCTCCCGCCACCCCTCCCCCCTCCTCCCCCTTCCCCACCCTCCCGCCGCCCTTCGCCCCCGTCGCCCCTACCTCTTACATCTGCGATAAGTGGTGCATGTCCTAACAATGATGTGTACGCAACTGCGTGTCTGCATATCTGCGCCTAACAAATGTGGTGCTACGCACGACTGAAATTTTACGTTTATAACCGTAGCAACAGACCTCAGATGAGCCCAGACGCTCTGCGGCTCTTGTTTATTTTATTCATTTATTAATTTAAAGACGGTACATTAGTAATATATATATATCAACATGAGCTTGAAAGCTCATCACCGCCACTGCAATAAAAAAAACTGTTCTTAATTAAAAGTGCTGGTTTAACAAGTTACAAGCGACGACACCAGGGCAGCTAGGTACCCCCAAGTGTATGTACTTTTACTAAAAATTATATCACGCACACTATATTATAACATTGTACGAGGCATAACTACATGCGTACTAAACGTAACAACCATAAAGACTATAGTAGGGACAACACGTACACATACGAGAAACGCAAATACTAAAACATAACAACAATAACCACACAAGGATGCTAAAACTATCAGTCGATTGAAAGAAAAAATTCTACTGAGGAAATACGTTGCTGTGGTAACAACAATATGCGTGCCGTTCTTATATACGTTTAAACCGGAGACTGACAGCACGTGTGCTTTATAAAATCCGGTCTATAATATTCACTTTGCTCGCAGCATCACGCCATGGGTTCCCCGATATGCCGATAGGCAGAGAGATTGGTCACGTTGAAGCTATTTAAATCTCCCGTAACTGCCACATTGCAATAGGAACATTATTTCGAAACACAAAACACTCGGCACACATTGGCACATTTACGTTGAATAACGATATTTAGACCATAGAACGGCGACCTCTCTATGAAGGGAAATTTTGGTCTTTCCCTTAAATGAAGTTGCGGTTATGTACCGAAACCATCTCTCTTGTGCGTCCACATGTTTGTAAAGCTGGTTTCCACGACTTCATTGGTGATGATTTACAAATTACGCATTATTGCAATTATGCATTAAACGAAAATTACTATTAGTAGAAAGTCAAATAAATGTTTGTGTATTATCAATGT